AACAACACTATCCGACGCCTGAGGTGTGGCGACCCACCCCTGCCTGCCTACTTAATTTTGAAGAGATCTATGTAAACTGGGACTTCTTTCTGCCTTTCTCTTTCCAAATCAGGAATACCAGTCGAGGAAGAAGCTAGGACAATGGTTGCATGAAACAAGTAAATGAAAAAAAAAGTTAATATCAAGTCTACAGACTGTGATAAACCTCTCAGTGTGAATGCAGTCAAGACCAGTCATAACTGATTAATCCAATGCCTCTTCAATAAACCCTCTTACAAATTTCAAAGCCATCTTACACTGCATCTATGGCACAAAAACTCTTAACTGGTAAGTATAAGGAACACGCAAAATGGTGCAATCTCGGATGACCATTGCAAGATGCAAGACTATAGATTCTTGGACCGCAAAGACACCCAAGCCCACTTATTCCCTTGCTTGGCGAATCTTTACTCCCAAAAGAGCTCTGCAATCTTACAATGAGCACTTGGATCAAACCATCTTTTGATATGAGAATGAAATGCAAATTCACCGTATGAAGTCAACATCCCTCCCCCCTTCCTTTAATTTCACAGCATACTGCAATAATCTGGAGTTTTAGCTATGATGAGAATTGAAAAATAACATTTTACTCTCCTATTAAAAAACTCATGGGCATAGCCTTTGAATACCAACTAATAAATCTAAGTTCTTTTCACAGCCTTGTGCCTATGAAGATAATGCATACACCAATCACATCTAGAAATCATATCATATGGACATAAAAAGGGTAACTAAAATCTACAGTCACTGCCATGTGAAACAAGGGGAGACCATAATAGGTAAAAATTGATAATCACTGGCATCCCTTCTTCTCTAACGCTGTAAACGTACATCAAAATTACAATATTTACTTCTGGGTGAAAACTACTATTATACTCCATAGAAGAAGCTTAACACGTTGATCAATGCCGAGTGTCAATAACGATTAATAAGAAAGAGGTCATCAAAGCACTTTTCTGAACCAGTATTCTTTCTTGCCTACGATTTCTTCATTCACATATGTACACACACCCACATGCATGTATATATAATGCAACCACACACACAAATGCATATTTCTACATGTGCATATTCAAATATATACATGTGAACTTCTGAACATACATACAGACATGCAGACATACAGAGGCACTTCCATTACATAAAGGTTAAAAATATAAATAAGTAAATAAAAATAAAATGAAATAAAATAAACATTTAAGAGAATAAGAAAAAAAGAAAAAAAAAAAATGAAGTCTCACTCCTTCACACATCACAACTACAAGGAAAATTTTCCTTTTGCACAACACGCCTGCCTACTGTCAAGTTTTCAACAAGACACTCTAAAAGTAACTCTGCCATAGAAATCACAATCAAGAAGAAATTACCTTTGGTGTTCAGCCAAAGATAATCTTGGTCACAACTTGGTTATCCTTTAGTGGAGCGTAACAGTCTCAGTTCATGTCTCGGCCTGCATTAAACGGAACACAGCAGTCTCAGGTCGTGTCTCGGCTGGCATTAAACGGAACAAAACAGTCTCAGGTCATGCCTCGGCTGGCATTAAATGGAACAAATCAGTCTCAGTTTGTGTCTCAGCTAGCATTAAACAGAACAAAGCAGTCACAGTTCATGTCTCGGTTAGCATTAAACGGAACAAAGCAGTCTCAGTTCGTGTCTCGGCTGGCATTAAAAGGAACAAAGCAGTCTCAGTTTGTGTCTCACCTGTCATTAAACAGAACAAAGCAGTCTCAGGTCATGTCTCAACTATTATTCAACGGAACAAGACAGTCCAAGGTCATGCCTCGGCTATCATTCAATGGAGCACAACAGCGTCAGGTCACAACTTGGCTTTCAGTCAATGGAACATATTACTACTAAAAAAAAATAAATAAATAAATAAATGAAATGAAACTATCTCTGCATGCATCAAGAATCCTGAAATTGAACATAGTCATATCCTGAGATAATAATGCTTTACTTGAAACTTTTATCTTAAGTAACCAAAACCATCATTCATGTTTCAGGTCTCAATGGCAAATAACTGATTAATGCCAAAAAAAGAAATACAGGAAAAAAAAAAGTAAAATAAATAAATAAACCACAAAAATCACAGTATGTAGCATACACTTACTGTTTTTGTTTATATACATATACATATTTTGGCTTTAATAACAACTTTCTCATCAAACCTGAGCACAGAGGCAAAGATTAAACCTGTTTTTCTACTGAACAAAAAATCTTGCTTCCCACAGAGATCATCTTTAGCACTGGTGTGATACTTATTTAATGTACTAATATAGTCAGTTTACTGTACTGTAAAAAATGGAATGTAGGTAACCAAGTATTTCTTTTCTTCTCTCTTCTTACAAACTATGCTAATGAAAAACGATCTTTAAAAATTTTGTTCCTTGTATACCAAATATTGTTAAAATTCCTATCTATCATAAGAAAATAACTCCTATTTTACAAAAAAATAAAAATTAAAAAAAAGCTTAAACACCAACTGGTCACGTAAACCAACATTTCAGCGTACATAATTTCACACAAATTATAATTCGACACTCAACTAAGCTAATGCAACCAGTGGCTAGTAATGCAGACTTTCCTATCAGACCTCTCATATACATCTCACAGAAGAGGCATATTCGATTTAAGTAGGTAACACAACATTATATATACATATAGAGTATATATGCATGTGCTGTATGTATAACATAAATAATATGTATAATATATGTGTATACATAGGTATGTGTATACATAAATAAATACATATACAACATACATATATAAATATACATATTTACACATACGTGTGTGGGTGTGTGGGTGTGTGGGTGTGTGCATCTCTCACTGTGTCTCACTGTGTGCATGTGTGCATGTGCATGTGGGTGTGTGCATCTCTCACTGTGTCTCACTGTGTGCGTGTGTGCATGTGTGTGTGCGTGTGCATGTGCATGTGCATGTGCGTGCGCGTCTGTGTGTGTGTCCGTGTGTGTGCATCTGTGTGTGTGTCCGTGTGTGTGCATCTGTGTGTGTGTCTGTGTGTGTGCATCTGTGTGTGTGCATCTGTGTGTGTGTCTGTGTGTGTGTGTCTGTGTGTGTGCATCTGTGTGTGTCTGTGTGTGTGCGTGCACACACGCACATGCGCACACATGCATGTGGATGTATGTCTTTCTGTGCATGCATTCAATGTGCATGTATATGTGTGTAAAGTATTTATGTATGCATATATGTATATGTATAAATGTCTTCATGCATGAATATATGTATATATCCTTACTTTTACAGACTTCACTTCACTTGACTGGAAGGCAAGCAGTATAAAAGTTAAATGATGACCCAATCAAACGATTAATACACAATCTCATGACAAAAGTTTCACATGACTAATTACTCTGATTTTTTTTAATATTAGAAAAGAGAAAAAGCATGCAATTCCCTTTTTTTATTAATCAAATGACATTTCACGTGGCAAAAAGAAGTGCAAAACTTTATGGCACAATTATTGCAGACACTGTAATTTGTTTTCCAATGTAAATGCTCATTTATGTTTCATGCAATTTCGTAGCATTAACTAAAATGGATAAATACAGATCTCATTTTTTCCGTCCAATTTTCCAATTCAAATCAACACATTTCATGTCAGTTTACAGCAATACTGAGTACCATGGAATATTGCACAAAAAAATCATCAAATTACAACCATTATCAAACCATTCAGAGCTGCATAATCTATCAAAAAAAAAAAAAAGAAGGAAAAGAAAAGAAAAAAAAAATGCATTCTTGAACTGCTTTCACTATAATGAAACTTTCTTTGATAAGAGAAAAGACATCATCCTAACTTTTATCTTGAGAGCCCAACCAACCGTCCTATAAGAGAATGATACGAGGAACTGGAATAACACTACCAATAAGCGATTCTTACGCGATGAGAAGGCCTCAGGCCATCACTTCCTCCCATGTCTGTCTCTCTCTCTCTCTTTCTCTTTCTCTCCCTCTCTTTTTCCTGAATCCCTTCCCACCCACCCCTATTCCGTTCTCTGCCCATGACATCCCTTCACCCAATCCTCTATATTCTTTCTCTTCTTCTTCTTCTTCTTCTTCTTCTTCTTCTTCTTCTTCTTCTTCTTCTTCTTCTTCTTCTTCTTCTTCTTCTTCTTCTTCTATGTTCCTTCCTTCCCACTGCTATACTAGGTACTCATTCTAAGAGGTGAAAAGTTACACAAAGGCTGCCCAAGGATCACAGAAGTTGTGACTTGATAGGAATGATAGCAATCCTGACCAAGTAGAAATAACTAGATGGCACTACTATATACACTGCTCTCATCAAACCACATAAAACTGAAAGCTTGAGCACAGTGATTACAACACATACGCCACAACTGTCGGGGGAAAGTCCGACAAGGACAGTTCTCTCCACTTCCACTGTTTTCAAAGTTTCTTTATTGAAACAGATGACTTAAGTTTCCTGAACCACTCTCCAATCGTCTCAAATAGGTAATGAGAATAAGTAGGTAATTTACAAGATCCACAAACCTTCCAAAGGGATCAATCTTTCCTACAGTTATAAAGCAATACTTGAAAGAAACTCACGAACCGTCCTCTTTATGTGCCTGGAATGTTAACTGGGCTTGTGCCCCCCCTGAGAGCATGGTGGCTCAAGTGGAGAGCTGCTACAACCTCTCGTCACTGCCATCATCAAAAGCTGTCCATGAATTTGGTTGTGAGAGGAGGCCCTGCTGCTCACGGTGCCTGAAGGCATGCTGTAGCGCTGTCAGAGGCTCTGTCGTGTCCTGACTCTGTCCCTCTACGGGCATGTCCAGAAGAGTGTGTCGAGGAACCTCTGATCCAAGAATGTGAGAAGCAGGTGAGAATCTTACACGTCCCCCTCCGGTCGAGTTTCCCCCGGAGCCGCCAGAGTACATGTCTGGGGCACTGACATAGCTGCTGTCCTCACTCGTCATGCTGTCTGGCGGGGTGGGGTTGGTGGGTGTGCCCCCGCCCGAGCCACCGGACCCGCTCCGGTCGCTGCGAGGCTTGGGGGAGGACCTGCCATACGTGTAATTCGACTTCCTTAGAGACGAGCGGTGGTGCCGGGGGAGATCCAGTGTGCCTGGTCTGTCCATGCGGTCCAGCTCGTGAGAATTCTGACGGGATACTCTGGGAGGAGGGGCCGGTCCCCCTAGCAGCTCGTAGTGTCCGTTGCGGTGTGTCGGCGTGGAATACGAGCTATCGCCCTCATCCTCTAGCCTGAAGGATGGGTTGATATTCGAAGAAGACGTGGAAGCATTTGACACTGAAGATGGAGTACGCCTATGCTGGAAATTTAATCTGGAGGGAGTGCGAGGGTTGGTGGATGTTGATGATGAGGACACTGAGGTGGAAGGGTTGTCATAGGCATGGTATCCTCCATCCCCACTGGCTGCCGCTGCCGCCGCCGCCGCTGCTGCTGCCGCCGAGGTGTGACGTCGGACATACTGGGGATAAATCCGCTGCTCGTAGTGCACGCTGGCACGGTACTCTGCAGGCGGATCGTGGTAACCCCGTTCACTGTAGTAGTAGCCAACTGGCTCTGAGCGGAAATCCCCAGGAAAGTGCTGGTACATCTCTCTGTACACTGGGGCATCAGGCACTGGCGAGGGCGGCCGTTGTTGCACGGTGGTCACGTGGGCAGAGTGGTCGCCCCGTTCGCTCCAGATCACCATCTGCTGCTCACTGCGGTAATCTGGACACAGGTAATCGGCTGGGCCAGGGATGTAAACAGTACGCTGCCCCCCACCACCGTAGCTTGCCACTTGCTGGAAAAGGTAAAAATTTACTTTCAAATAATCAGATCTATGAGTCATTGAAATCACAGCGGATGTTATTAAGTGGGTATGTATATCTAGTTGTCTGAATTATTTTGCCATTGCCCCAATACCCTAATATTAATTACTTTATACTATTCTGTGATAAGAAAGGTTAGCCCACATTACTAATAAAAGTAATAGTAGTAGCAGTATCTGTCACAATATCTGAACAATAATATTAACAGTAACTGTATTCAGAACAGTATTGAAGTCCTAATGCCTGGTGGAGTTGTAATAATAATAATTATAGTAGTAGTAGTAGTAGTTCTTGGGTAAGTGGTAATAAGTGTAACATAAATATACCCAAAAAGATACAGTAATTTAAAAAGAAATCAGCAAAAATACCCTTCCTTTCCAACCCAACAGTAAGAAACCACCTCATCTCCAAAAAGTCCCAAGATAAATCACACTGCTTCGTTATCTTACCTCGCTGTCATTACTCGCAGAGGACGACTTTCTCCTGGGGCCCTGTTGGGAGGAGGGCAAAGCAGCCTGGCCAGCAAAATGTTGCGGAGAGTCGGTGAACCTGATTGGCTTAGGTTCGAGCACCAGGGCCGGCCGCGAGTGTCTGGTTGGGCCGTGGTAGGTGTTGTGAGCGTATCCCGACGGACTTGAAAACTCGTACTCACTCATACTCAGCCATCTCTGGTACTCAGCGTCATCTTCCTCAGCCCTGTAAGTGCACGTTTGGCAATCGTAGTCATGAAATCCACATTTTTTCCAAGAAGCTAGTAATGAAACACCAAATTCTGATCTGACCTGGTAAGTTGAGATCTAAATGAAGGGACTGGTATTTATGTGTATGTGTATGTGTGTGTGTGTGTGTGTGTGTGTGTGTGTGTGTGTGTGTGTGTGTGTGTGTGTGTGTGTGTGTGTGTGTGTGTGTGTGTACACATATATATGTACATATATATGTAAATATATATAGATATATACATATACATATATATACATATATACACACATATATATATACACACATACATATATATATATATATATATATATATATATATATATATATATATATATATATATATATATATATATATGTATGTATATATATATGTATATATATATATATATGTATATATACATATACATATATACATATATATACATATATATGAACATATATATATGAACATATATATATAAACATACATAAACATATACATATATACATATATACATATATATCCACATATATACATATATACATATATATCCACATATATACATATGTATATACATATACATATATATATATATATATATATATATATATATATATATATATATATATATATATATATATATATATATATATACATACACACACATATATATATATACACATATGTATATAAATATATATATACACATGGTTATACAAATATACATACATATATATATATATATATATATATATATATATATATATATATATATATATATATATATATAAAACCCTTGTTACATAATCCCAAATAACTACAAAAAAAAAAAACATACAATTATTCGCTTTAAAAAAAAAAAAAAAAAAAAAAAAAAAAAAAAAAAACTCACTTCACTGGTAACAGCTTTGGATGAACCGCCGTGACGTTCGACAACCGCACATCATAGCCGGCTGCCACACTCGCCAACATCGCGGCAATATTATAGACAATCAGTTCAAGAGGCGAATATTTGGGCCGCTGACCCTTAGTCTCCGGAGTCGTGCCGTTATAGAGGGTGGGGACAGGCAGGGGTCGTAAGGGCACGGGTTTGGCTGTCCATCCTCCATCTTCGCCGCTGTAATCTGGGAATGCAACAGCTGGGAGTCAGGCTTCTAAATCCTCTACGGAGCGTTTTTTCTTTCTCTTTGTTGTTCTTGTCTATTCAAAGAAGATGCATGCAATCTTATCTGGGGAATGTTATGTCCTTTTTTTTTTCTTTTCTTTTTTTATTATTTTACAATCATGAGGTATATACAATGACAACTCAGACTGTATGGTGAAAATGGAAATTCTGCAAAAGAAAATCATTCTCTCTCTCCCTTTTTCTCCTTCTCTCTCTCTCTCTCTCTCTCTCTCTCTCTCTCTCTCTCTCTCTCTCTCTCTCTCTCTCTCTCTCTCTCTCTCTCTCTCTCTCTCTCTCCTTTCCCTTTTCTCCCCTCTTTCTTTTTCTCCATCTCCTAGTTATCACCGTTTCCACTCTTCTCTCCTCTACCTCTTCATTTACTCATTCACTCATTCACTCATTCAGCTACCCACTTACTCTACCCTACTCACACCCAACATCTCTCAATTCCTCCCTCTTTCTCTTTCTTCTTCTCTTTCTATCTCCTTTCTTTCTCTTTTGCTCTCTCTCTCTCTCTCTTTTGCTCGCTCGCTCGCTCGCTCGCTCGCTCTCTCTCTCTCTCTCTCTCTCTCTCTCTCTCTCTCTCTCTCTCTCTCTCTCTCTCTCTCTCTCTCTCTCTCTCTCTCTCTCTCTCTCTCTCTTACTTACACTCTCTTTTACTCTCCTTTCAAACTCTCCCTCTCTTTCTCTTCTCTCTCTATTTGATTAACTGTCTATCAGATTATCTACCTATCCTTCTCTCTTCCAATCTGTCATTCCCTCTTTCATCCTGTCTTTGAATCTCATTCTTAAAAAACTCTCTCATTCTCAAACTCTCTTGGTAAATAAAGAAAAAAAGAAAAAACTATTTGATTAATTTTATTTTCATTCTTAACCCTTGTGAGATGTTAAAAATGACACATAATATTGAAGACAAATCAAGTGACAAAAAATACCCTAGTTAAAATGTATGTACAGGGATAAAAAACACTCTCCTTCCATCAACTATTTCCTTGAATTCATAGGATAAATTTTAAGGAAAGTCCCAAGTTCAAGTCCTGATTATCCGTCACCACAGACACAAATAATTAAACCAGAATACTGCCAAGAGGGGAAAAATGCCTCTTAAAATTTTATTTCCGGAATTTTCCTACTCAAAAAAATCAGATTCTATCCATGGACCAGGAATAAAGTCATATCATTCACAAGCATGACAATACAGGATTTTGGAATGAGTGATATCACATCCACACTAAAATTCTAACTGAAAATGTTATTTTTTCTCTCTCTCTCTCTTTAATTCTTGCAAGAGATGTAATTATCACAGAGTTAAGAAAAAAGTTTTTAAAAAAAGGCCACCTTCTTTGAAAATATTCTCTTTCACTATCTACAAAATTAGCTCTATTCCATGGTGGCAAAACCATGCTAACTTGACACCAGAAATTCCTATGAAAACCACACATTACGTTGTGGCATAAAATGGTGTGTCAACCACCATTCAGCATCCTCCTTTTTAAAGAATGAACTAACTATTATTACATTTAAAACACTTAACATGAAAATCTCTCTTTTAAAAAAACACACACAAACATACAATACATATCTAAAACGATATAGATTTATTGGAGGAGAAAAAGCAAATGTTTGTAAAATCACTACTAAATGGAACAGGCAGTAAGTAATATGATCATTTGCAGCGGCAGAAAATACACAAGTGTGGTTTATTCAATACCATTGGTGTCCAAGTACCCCAGCCACTGCCCATGGGTTGCCTCTGAAAGTACATAATATATAGGTGTTCTATGGAAACACCACAACAGTGTTTACATTTGCACATGGACAGTCTGGGACCAAAGTTGGATAGCATGAAAGAAGCTTCTGAACCCTCTGGCTGTTTAAGACAATGCTTGAGTGTTTTATGAGTTTCACTTCTGATTTTGCACAACTGTCCCAGACTGTGCATAAATATGCAATTACATCTCTCATCACCAATTCCCTGGACTCAATTATACCAACACCAAATATTAACCACATTAATCCATTCACTGTATTTTCAAGTCATGTGATTCTTAACTATCTTTTTTTTTCCAAAGAATTAGTGCTAGTCATTTACATCCAGGCAAACTGCCTAATATTCATCTTTTGCATATTATGATGATCAAAAAAAAAAAGATTACATCATGAATTTCTCTTTTTTAAAATCTAAACACATATGCAGTTTAAATAAAAACAGTGAATGGGTTAAGAACACAATCATACATTTCTAGACACATTTACAGTCAAGTAAAATGGATATGTGTTTACGAACACATAAAAGCACAAATGTTCATGTATAAGAACAAGTACATAAATGGACTAACTCTACAGCATAAAACTTCCTTGGTCTATAAGTAATGAACTTTTGGATCTTGGAAGAAAATAAATTCACAGAGAAAGAATCTCATCTATACTTTTCACCACGCAAGACCTCTCAAGAACAGATTCCTTTCAACACCATAAAAGTTTTGTAACACAAATTTCTATCTTATTTTGAAGATAATACTTTCAAAATTGGGTTTAAGACATAACAAATAAATAAACAAAATGCTTGAAGCTTTATATTTCAGAACCACTTCTTCCATTCTTTATTCTCAGCATTAATCATTCCTTTCCATGTGCATCATGTACGATATTTAAGTTTTTAAAAAGTAGTTTCCTTCAATCAGTTACAGAAGATGAAGACAATTACTCATGCAGGAATATGACTACTATACCATCATGCTATCTCAAGATCGAGTCTTGAGTCTGGGGAGTCCATCATAGTGTGGCATGGCGTCACAAAGCCTAGAGAGTGAGTAGCCTACAGCTATTCGTAAACAATGAAGAAGCTCAAATTCCCGGACATTAAGTTGCCCACCACAAACACCAACAGCGTTGGTATGATCGGTCAGCACTTGGCAATCTAGTCCATCACAATAGCTGGCTACTGTATGACAGTTCTCAAGTCCTGCATGTATTTAAGCAGACAGAGAAATCTGTGACAGCTTTTTAAGAAAAAAAAAAAATCTGAGTTCTAAATACATGAACACAAGACCCATAAATGACACAAATGCGGAGTAAATGGTTTCTTACTCTTTTTGGTCACTGCAGAGGCTGCCCATAAAACATAATAAATGCATGAGTGACAGGGCTTCGTGTTGGAGAGTTAACCCAGTAACGACAAGGAAAGACTTCTGTCGCTGATTGGTTAAATCTCATTTAAAACATGGAGAAAACTTTTTCTCAAACAATTTATAATGCAAGTAATATGCAAATGAACAGCTTGAAAAATACCTTTCTTTGCATCTCTTGTCTCTGTGCTAAACTGCAAACATTACTTCACAAACTTACAGAGCAGTTTTGAAGAATTGAATAGAGACTATAACAAATTACGTCTACTAGTTTGGAATGTGTATACTTCATAAAAGACTAACTGTGTATCAAAGTCCAACTTCTACTTTTTGTGAATCATATGAAGCCCTATATATTCTATCATTCACCAGCTAGCCTCTTCTCTCTCTTCAAATCAGAATGGTCTTATTTCAAATTCTGTTCTACAATGCAGTTAAATTTTCCAGCTTCATCTAAGTTCTATCTATGTATTGCTGAGGACTTCTAACCATCAAAAACTCAGCGTGACCATTCACATCATAATAGAAAATATATCAAGCAGTATATAGTGTCAAGTAAAATTTCTCAAGTACAAATTCATGACTTTCTGCATGGGCCTAACTGACAAATTCTGATCAATTTTTCCCCGTGCGCATTTGGGCAAGCCTCCAGTATGGTGGTTTTTTGGTGGACGTCCACATTCTCTCCATTAACATAATTCTCTCCTCCCTCCCAGACAGCACACGCATACAAGAGCCGGATATACTCACATCACGGGCACAAACACACTTGGTGATCAATCAAATCACGAAGAAATCACTGTGCCCACACTAAATACACAAAGCTACAATACTATTAGACAGTAATAGATAGTAGTAAAGTATACATTACCTGGCATGTAGTAATATCCATTGCCAGCTTCAAACAGAACAAGAGATAACAAATTATCAAAGGTCTAAGGAGATCCCTTACTAGGACTCGGTGTGTCTACAAGAACTAGGAGAAACATTCAAAAGAGAAAAGAAAAAAACTAATGTCTTTAGATTTTTTCTACTTGTTCTTCATCTTCAGTATTCATTTTCTCTCAAAGTTTTGTCAATCTCTTTTATAAAGAACTATCTACTTTTTTCCTCTCCGGACTTCTAAAACAGGTGGCAAGCAGGACTGTTTTTTTTCTTCTTGACATGCTCTCCGTCCTTCTACCACACACTTACCAATCTCGGGACCATACGCTGTGATCTGATTCAACCCCGTCATGGTGGCAGTATAAGGGAGGGGCCGTAATGGCTTCTCTAGATTGGGCGCCGACTTACTCCATCGTTTTTGGTTGTCGTGCTGTTGCGGGATGATGTGGCCTCGCTCCTTCTGGTGCGCCGTGCTGGGGCCCCACGTCTTGCCCTTCACGCCATCGGCTGGTACTGTGGATAAAGCGAGTCTCTCTTAGGTTCCACTCACACCAAAGTTGCTCTTCGTTTGCTGTTCTTTATTCTAATTTAAGTTAACTTCTTGCATTTAAGGAACTTTCTTTCATCTCTACTTTTATTACATTGATATCAAAATCATTAGCATCAGTGACATTTACTTTATCCAGAAGATTAAAATTGACTCTGAACTTGTCATATATCATGCATTTCCAAAACTTCTTTAAAATCTGCATCAAGAGCTGCTAAATAATGTCAC